CTAAGGCTTCTGATTACCTCCACATGCTACTTCTTTTCTTGAAATAAAAACAATATGTATATATTGTTATAAGCGTCTAGGGGGTGCAACCCATTTACAATAATTACGTAGTGTTGATTTTTGGAGAAAAAATAATAATTTTATTTCTCATCCTTTATTTTGTTACATTTAGGGTATTTATAAAATATCTATCCTACTAATAGAGAAATTTTTATTTTAATAAACTTTTAATTATATGAAATTATTATTCTCATAAAATTTTAATTATATAATATCAAATAATTAAATCATAAACTAAAATAATTAACTAATAAAATGTGGTACTCAACACCTCCTTTCAAGTTGGTGCAAAGATATCCCACATATGCTATTTCACTATCATCCTACTTGGAAACTCCTAGTAACTTGGTAGTCAGACATAGAGTTCCATGTTTTAAATGACTTAGAAAGGAGCTAGGGGATTGGAGCAAAGAACTCGTTGGCTTCGGTGACAAGTTGGTTGCTCCTAGCTCATAACTTACTCGTTGCTAGTCCACTAGTGATTTAGTTGTCCAAAGTCGTCTTGCTTTTGGATAATAAAGAAGAAAAGGGTAAGAGACCTCATTCTCATCATGATACATGAAGCACTCGTTAGTCGTTCATTATCTCTCTTCATCAGGCTTTCAATAGTGAGAATCCTATCCCAAGCAACTTCATAGGTTAAGATAGCTATTTGTGGGGCTATCTTACTTTCCACGTCCATATTCAAGGGAATCTCTTCGATTTCTATGTATGAGAATGGGAACAAAATGATTTCACTAAAAATGCCATCCTTAGTTTCCATATAGGTCTCTCTTCTAAACTAATTTCTTACTTTGATTTTAAACTGTAGGAAAATGTTTGATTTTATTTGTATTCTGAGTGCCTTAATTAGACTGTTTCATCCCATTGATTCTAATCCTTATTCTTGTTTTCTATGTTTACTTCTATAGATGAGTTGTTTGAACGAGGACAAATGTATCTCAATTCAAGTTCCTAATAATTGTGGAAGCGTGGTATGTTTTACTATTTAATAATTTTCTGCTCACAATGGAAAAGTGAAATGTGTCTCCTAATATTTTTTCTTGGCTGCTAAATAATACTATTAACTACTATATTTCATTGTTTTGGTTTCCAAAGAACACAGCACAACAGGTGCAAGTCACCATTTCTGCAGAAGAGATTGGGGCAAAGGAGAAGTCTCCTTATAATTCTTATACATGTAGTGACATTTCATCCTCATCAACATTATCTCATATTATTCGGTAATTTTATCTTGCACTTTTGAATAATATATTTACTCCACTTTATTTAAAAAAAATCTATTTACTCCGCTTGCTACAATCAAACTCCATTTATGATTTTGATTGATATTGTCTTTTTTCATGTTTCTAGAGTTTTACTTATCTGAGCTAGTTTCATAATGCACTGAATCAAATAATCTCTTGCTCTCGCTCTCTCCTTGCTCTTTATGGTTCTTTGCATGCACCTTTCCTTTTAGCCTTTTCTCATTTATTTATGGTATTTGTCACAGAGTGGATCAGTTTTGGGTTGCCGAAATAGGGTACAAACCGTAATTCTTCCAAACATAAAACTATTTTACTATTTAGGAGTATATCATTATAATTTTAGTAATTTTAGGTTTCTATTTGTTTGAAATATTTGGCTTTCCTGTGTATAATGCAATCAAAACCTTAAGTATGCTTAAGTTAAGTGCAATATGTAAGAAACCTTATTTGTGATACATAGGTTTTTATTTCCAATAGATGCTTTCTTTGTAAAGAAGATGTTGAGTCTTGCAACCATCTCTTACTCCATTGCTCTTTCACTTACAAATTATGGTCCATGGTTCATGGGTTGCTTGGTATTAGATGGACTATCACGGGCACTATACAAGGCGAATTAAAGGCTTGTGAATTTATATGCAAAAGAAACAAGAATTATCGACTAATTCTTCTTACCATTTTTTGGATCCTCTGGAAAGAAAGAAACAATCGAGCATTTGAGGGCAAAGAAGATAGTTTTGGTAACATTAATGACAAATATTTTCATTTTTTTGGTCCATTATACTTGGACGTCACCTTTGTAGCCTTGATGATTTCGGTTTTATTGTAGATATGCTCTTTGATTTGTATATTTTGTACATGGGCGGCACTCCCTTGGTGCTTACACTCAATATATGTCTTACTCTTTTATCTAAAAAAAAAGTTTTTATTTCCAAACCTCCAAGTTGACAAATTTTCCAATATTATCCTACATCAGTTAGTGTTGAAATTAAAAAGTTCCTATAACAAACATCTAAAACTCTACACTAAACAACCTCGAACTCATAGGGAAAAATAGAAAAAAAGCCAGAAAACCCTAACACCTATAAAGCAACTTCTGGTTTAGATTGCTAGCTACCATGGGGCATGACTTATTGCCCTATCCCTGACACCAAAACTACAAGTGGGCAATATCTAAGAAACTTTATTTGTGATACGGAGGTTTTTATTTCCAAACCTCTAAGTTGGCAAATTTACCCATATTATCCTACATCAGTTAGCATTGAAATTAAAAGGTTCCTATAACAAAAATCTTAAACTCTACAACAAACAACCTTGAACTCATAGGGAAAAATAAAAAAAAACCCAGAAAACCCTAACACCTACAAAGCAACTTCTGGTTTAGATTGCTAGCTATCATAGGGCATGATTTATTGCCCTATCCCTGACACCGAAACTACAAGTGGGCAATATCTAAGAAACCTTATTTGTGATACATAGGTTTTTATTTCCAAACCTCTAAGTTTGCAAATTTACCCATATTATCCTACATCAGTTAGCATTGAAATTAAAAAGTTCCTATAACAAACATCTAAAGCTCTACATCAAACAACCTCGAACTCATAGGGAAAAATAAAAAAAATCCAGAAAACCATAACACCTACAAAGCAACTTCTGGTTTAGATAGCTAGCTACAAGTGGGCAAAATCTGAAGTCCCGGCCCAAAATTCCACTAAAAAAGAAGCCATTCACTGTTGCAAGACTTGCCAACTGTTGCTTCATGCTTATCTTGATCCTGGCCTGTCTGGCAGTTGCCTTTCACACTGCCATGGGATCTACAACCACTCACTAGTTGAATTGACTTGCTCAAGAGGTTTGGGTTATCTTGTTTTTCTCTTATATTGCAACTTTCAGCTTCTACAATGGCGAGTAATGTTGAATAGAATGCTAGACAAGATGCATGTGTGGCAGACACTAAAAAAAAGTTGAGAGACAATGACAAATACAATTCACTAAATTTGACAGTGCACTGAATGGATCTAACAACACATTTGATCTTGATGGGAATAAAGGGTACACGTCCTAGTTATCCAAAGCTTGAACTCCTACTATTTGATGGGGAAATTTATCCTGTATGCTGGTTAAGCTGATGTTATCACCTTTCTCGATATAAAAAAGATGCCAGAAGGGCAGAAGCTGGACTTGCTTTGTTCCATGTTGTGTGCAAAACATAGTAATGGTTCCTAGAGCTGGAAGATGATCAACCAGTGATAAACAGGGAGATCTTCTAAAAAAAAATGCGACCCGACCTTTGGACCATCTGTTTGCGGGAAAATCAGGGTACAAGCAAAATTGAGAAAATGGGACAATTATCTGCTCTTGCTGCTGCTTTGACTCTGGACAGGAAATTGAGATTTTTTCATCAGCGGCTTGCAGGACTATTTGTCATTGAAGTCAATCTCCAGCACTTGCAATACCTGGCGATGAGCTTTAAATGTTATACGAACATGTTGGTAGGAGACTCTTGGGCGGCCTTTTCTTTGCTAGGCCAATGTCAGTCCTCCCAACGAAGAACCATTTATCAAGTGCTTGAGTGGCATTTGGGATGGAGAAGCGCCTTAAAAATGGCCTTTCTTTCGATTGTCATGAGCCTTACATGCTGAGCCGTCAATGTAAGAAACTCCTTTCATTAATGGTAGGAGAACACTACATTTGAGGGGACTGATTCTAGACAACATTAAATTCAAGTTTTCCTTAATAAATTTGAAATAAATTGAACAACTAGCATATATATTTTCCGAGATTTAGTAGTAGTAGGTAACATTATATTTTTTTTGTTCTTTTTTTTTTTTTTTTCTAATTTTAGTGCTAAAATTATATTATTGTTTTCTTTTCCTAAGCATTAGGAAAACTGTTGTAAAAATCTTACAATCCATGATTTGAATCTTACTATTCAATTCAATTCAGTAAGAAAACAATTAGAATTCTAATCTATCATGAATTTTAAGAAAATCTTAAGAACTGATAATAACTCGCACAATTCAATTCCCTTTTTTGATTGATTTTGAGTTGGTTAAAATTGAATATAGTCAATTTAGAAAACTTATTTTTATTTAATTATAAGAGACACAATTCACTTAATTTACTTTGAAAACAAGCATTATATGGTTGTTTACAATATTAGTATAAATTTCTTAAGACATTTTAGTTTTTGATGTTATTCTTAAAAAAATTATATATAAATAACAATAAATTTTGACTAATGAACTATGTTCTGAATCTTATGATTTGACTTGGTTCACTATTCGCTATTCAAAGTATTGGGTTTTCAGTTTACAATTTAGGATCTTGATTCAATAACTATGATAAAGAATAGTGATCTTATCATTAATTATATTTTCGTAGATTTATCTCTATTCTTTTTTTTTTGAAATAAATAGATTTCTCTCTTATTCTTCCCAGAAAGTTACTTCTTGTTGAGAGCTAGTATAGCAACAAGCACATCTATGAAACAATTTAGCATTAGAAAGCGAGCTGGGTCATGAAGACCAACAATTATCTTTGTCTTTACTGTTTCACATTATAGGAGAGCATTCTCTTAGGAGTGTCTAAAAGAGAACCTACCTTCTATCCCACATAACCAATAAGCTCCTTGAAGTCCTATTGGAGGGGTAGGAAACCAACCACTTGGACCTAGATGATCTCCTGCTAAGGATGATACTTAGCTTCCCAAAGCATGACCACTTGATTTGCCTTAAGAATATTTCCTTCACCTTCCTCCACGTCATCCCATTCCCTAATCTCTCATTGTAAAGTAGGAACTTTTATTTAACACTTAGTCCATTGGGCCCCATTATTTCTTTATACTTTTCTATTTCTATTTCTTCTGTGTCCCCGAAGATAAGGCGTCTCTTCCTCCATGCTACCATATAAGATTTCAACTCTCTTGGGTACTTCTAAGTGGTCTCTATATAATTGTCAATCGATATGATTTGATGGAAGAAGCACACTTTTTTTAAACTTAATCTATAATAATACTGTGAATGTTGCTCGAGCATCATGGATTTAGTGGCAAAGTTACTCCTAATGTGAGCATGTGATCCTAACTTCAGAGTGTGGCCTTTGAACCAGCAAAGGAAGATTGCAATTTACTTTTCGATTATAGCTTTGCTGGTTATTCTTTCTGTTCTATGTTGTTGAAGTTCGATATTGTGGTCTTTCTTGTTTCTCAACACATAGAGTTCTTTATGGCTTTTGGACATCTACCAAGGGTTTTGATCATCAACATCATTTTAGTATCTAGTCAAAAAAGAAAACAGTCCTTTGATATCCCAATATCTTTCTTCCTAGGTGAAACTCAGTTTTCTTACAGCTGGCGTAGTTTTCATTCACTTTTTCTTTCCAAGGCAGCATACAAGGCTATGTTGTAATGTTTGCTCATCATATTGGGCTTGACATTGCCTCTTCTTCTGTCTGTATTCTCTAAGTGCTACAGAATCATTTCTTGTCACAAATACTTTTTCTTTTCTTTAGATATTCTTTTTAGTAATTTTTTTATTGCAAGTTATAGTGACACCAATTTCATATTTTTTCTTTTAAATTTATAAATCTAGGTTGCGAACTGGAAATGTAATTTTCAATTATAGGTACTACAACAACAAATTGCAGAGGACTGAAGGTATTGTGGATTCATTGCTAAAATTCATCTTAAGTTATATTTTTATTCTAATGCCATGTTTTCATGACTTCATTTGTAGTCTGTATGGTTGGTGATAGACGTTTGGTTTGAAAAGTTTCCACTGCATTGATTGTTGTCATTCCTATTATTTTTTTCTATTTCTAATGTAATATACCCTTATTTATGGTATATAACTTGCAGTAACTGAAGACTTTTCATGTCCTTTCTGCTTGGTAAAATGTGCAAGCTTTAAGGTTGATTCTGTTCCCGACATATGTTCTTATTTGTATTGCCTTCCTGATTAAAACTTTATGAGATATTTGTTTGCTGATATCTTCCGTTGTTCCCTTAACATTGTAGGGTCTTAGGCTTCACTTACCATCATCACACGATCTCTTCCATTTTGAATTCTGGGTTGGTAAACTTCAGGATTCTTTACGGCATTCTTATTATAAATTCCTGAAAATCTTTATCAACAAATCGGGGACATTTTGTAGGTTACTGAAGAGTATCAAGCTGTAAATATATCTGTGAAAACTGATATCTGGAGATCTGAGGTCAGTACATTTACTTTTACCCATTGCGATCTAGTTTCTACATAGCCTTCAGCTCTGTGGTAATTCGCTGCTTATTTTAAAAGAAATTTATATTTAAACTATTTAATTAATGGTCTCTTTTGTTGTTTATTGTGCTTTTTATGTGATACATTTTCTTAACTGTGTGGGAGTCAATTATTGTTGGTCCTGACAATATTATGTCTCCTAATTACTTTTTTTTTTACCTTAAAATTTAGAACTATTCTTGGATAACATTTACTTTGAACCATGTTATGTTATAAATAAGTGGCAGATATTTTCCTGGAGAGAACTTATGCTACAACATTGTCCCTATAATTTTTATAGACAATGTGCGCATAATTATTCTAAAGTCTCGAGAGAGTTCCTCATAGTGAGTGTGTGGTTTGTGTGTCACTTACCATCTAGTTTTTTCTACCATATAATTCCTTTCATCTAAGAGGTTCTTGATAGTACGAAGAAAGTTTTTTTATGTGGTTTAGGAAGGGAAAGTCTGACCATTTAAGGCTGACTAAGAATGGATTGGAAATAATTCATGGATTAGGATACAAAAAGGTGTCAGGAACCATTTTCGATCCTACAATATTGCAGTAGAAGATATATATGTACTTTGAGATAAGGAAGAAGGACAGTAGCACCAAGGAGGATGTTAGTTACAAAGGCCAGATTTCTACCAGCAATGATGCAAGTGTGATCTAAAATTGTTGTCGTTTTTTTTGGGAGGGGGGAATAAGGTAGGCTCCGGGATTGTTCTTGAGCTTGCAACAAGAGATCCTGCAAATCTCGTAGAATATGATTGTCGGTGTTGAAGCTCATGGCTAACTGCTCCTAATGTAGACTCCAGAATGGAGGGGCAGCCGTTTACTCAGCCATAAACTGCAGTTATGAACACCTGTCCTTGAGAGTCCATCCATGGACTACTGATGCAAACTTGATTTAGCGCTAGATTTTCTAAATAAATCAGAAATTGTAAATCCATTAGATATAAAATAACTATACCATGTAGGAGTATTATTGTTTTAGTAACTTAGGATTTTTGTTATTATTAGTATTTTTCTATTTATATTAGGATTAGTATTCCTAATATTGTTGGTATTAGTTTCTTATTCTTGTTAAGGTTAGTATTCCTAATTCTACTAGTTTGCTATTTTCTAGTTTAGTTCTAGTTAGGAAAAAATTATTGTAAATCATTTTGTAATTTTACTTATTGGTCATTCAAGTATTCAATAGTATATTTTTCTAATTGTTCAAAACTTCTTAGTTGTCATGTCTAAGAAACCGTAGGTGTGATGTGTAGGTTTTTCTTTTTTTATTTTTTAAATATTCCGAAATCTCTAATTGGACAGGTCAAGCCTATTTGTCCTACATTGATTATACTTATAAACTTGTGCGGATCTCATTAATGAACAGAAAGTTCGAATTATATT